GGCTGCACGGGTTTGCCTAATGCTTCGAGGCTGACACCCTCCAGGTGTCACCTGGTACCACCTTGTGAAGTACTAAGCTCTTTTAAAGATGCCCCAGGAGGCAAAGCCTTGAACCAATGCTTTGTAATGAGAAGGCCAGGGTAATGACATGTATCCCAGGGGTGACCTGTGGTTGCTGGGGGCGGGGGGTGGGGTAGGGAGAAAGTTCTCCCCTGCAGACAACCAATCCCCATTCCTGCTATGTACTGTATTTGGACCTTGTTCCCAGAAAGTACGCTATGTTAAAGAGTTTGCCTGCCTTGAGGGGAGCCCCACAGGTGTTCCCACAGGGACAGTATAATTACAGGGACAGTATACTTACATACATATGTTTGAGTGCCCTATGCTAATTGACTTTTTTTCTTACATAAGCCCTGGGAGAACAACAGCACCGTTAGTGTGGATATGACTTAGTCACGCTGTTTACTCTCAGATGCGATGAGACACGTCCCATATGCACGGCCACAGAAACCCTTCTCCACCAGCCCTCTAGCAGGTGCAGGGTGGTGGATGGAAGGGACGAGCAAACTGAATTCTAATAGAGTCTCTGCCTTTTCTTGGGTAAGTCATTCTACTTCTTTGCTCTCAGTTTTCTCTTCTGTTGAATGGCCACAGTAGCATTGTCTTATTAACCCAGAAAAAGTAGTGTATGTGAAATTATTACTCTGTAACTGGGGACAAAATCATCACCTTTATCATCATTGTCTGTGGGATACATTAAGAACAGCCTTCAAAGTTCCATAGGGGGCGGCAGGCAGTGATTCTCAGTCCACGTGTCATGCCCTTCGGCAGTCCAGTGGTCACTAGTAGGGACTATGGGCCAGATGGCCCGAGTTCCAGTTTGAGCTGCCACTTAGCAGCTGAGTGACCCAGTGGAAGTTAAATTAACATCTGTACATCAATTCCTCCTGTCTACGTTGGGGGTAAGAGCAGCACCTAGGTCACAGGGGTTTGCCGAGGGTTTAGAGCTAACATACCAGTAAAGTTTAGAACTCTATCTGACACACAGTAAATGCCGTATTATTATTTGTTAATATTTTTCTTTGTATTCTCAATTTAATTAATGCTTGATTACATAATGCATGGATTTTCAGCAAGTTTTAGATCCCAGATAATGAGCCTCACCATTCAAAATTTTCTTAATTGCTTATTTTCTATACTCATCTGCTGTATCTTTGGCATTTGAAAAAAGATTTGTTTGGGAAGTAAATCATCTGCCAAAAGAAAACAAGCCAATAGCCATTCTTTCAGGGTTTCCCCTTGTGAATAAGTGCTTCACAAAACAGGAATTTGAAAAAAGTGGCAGCTTATTTCTTTTTTAAGCCTTTGTCAGGCAAAAAGAGTAAGACATAAGGCAGTGGTAAAAAAAACCATGTAATTCCAGGCAGTGTCTCATGGACAAGGAGCTTGTAGCCTGCACTTTTCAGGCCTCCAGAAACTTCCAGGGCCCATCTTGGGACAAGAGGCCTGGCTGTTGCCTGCTCCATGACCAGGGCTCCCTTGGAGGCCCTGATGGGGGAACTTTTTGTCCCACTTCTCCTCAATTGTCTTGGGAGACCCTCTGGTGTTCTCCTGCCTGGGCTCCACCCCTATACTTCTCCCATAAGACAGGCTCTGGTGCAACCAAGGCTGTTCTGGAGATGAGGATGAAATGCCTCCCGGACAGCATCCTGTAGGTGGAAAAAAATCATCTGGACAGTATTCTGCAAATTACTGTCAGCAGCAAGAGATTTCTCTGTGACTCCCTTTACATCATCTCTCCATTTCTATCTATCCTACTGCCATAGTCCGTGGCTGTCATTTAAATGCCTTCTTTGATTTATGATAGGAGCATAAGAAAGCTCTTCGAGTCTGGTTTCTTCCAGATGCATCTCCGGAGGTTGCTGTGCTGCCCTTGGCAGAGACATCACACAGCGCCTGGACACATCATTCTTTCCCTCGTCCTTGTGAATGGCGCCCCCTGGAGTTGTGTGATGAGAAACCTCAGCCTCTGGGAGGACGGCAGAGGGCCGGGAGGATCCGTTCCTTTTTTTTTTTTTTTTTTTTAAGAATTTATAAGAAAGCCAAAGTTGGTGGCATCACAATTCCAGACCTCAAGCTCTATTACAAAGCTGTCATCAAGTCAGTATGGTACTGGCACAAAAACAGACACATAGATCAATGGAACAGAATAGAGAGCCCAGAAATAGACCCTCAACTCTATGGTCAACTAATCTTTGACAAAGCAGGAAGGAATGTCCAATGGAAAAAAGACAGCCTCTTCAACAAATGGTGCTGGGAAAATTGGACAGCCACATGCAGAAAAATGAAATTGGACCATTTCCTTATACCACACACGAAAACAGATTCAAAATGGATGAAGGACCTCAATGTGAGGAAGGAATCCATCAAAACCCTTGAGGAGAACACAGGCAGCAACCTCTTTGACATCAGCCGCAGCAACTTCTTCCTAGGAACATCACCAAAGGCAACAGAAGCAAGGGCAAAAATGAACTATTGGGATTTCATCAAGATCAAAAGCTTTTGCACAGCAAAGGAAACAGTTAACAAAACCAAAAGACAACTGACAGAATGGGAGAAGATATTTGCAAATGACATATCAGATAAAGGGCTAGTATCCAAAATCTATAAAGAGCTTAGCAAACTCAACACCCAAAGAACAAATAACCCAATCAAGAAATGGGCAGAGGACATGAGCAGACATTTCTGCAAAGAAGACATCCAGATGGCCAACAGACACATGAAAAAGTGCTCCACATCACTCGGCATCAGGGAAATACAAATCAAAACCACAATGAGATACTACCTCACACCAGTCAGAATGGCTAAAATTAACAAGTCAGGAAATGACAAATGCTGGCGAGGATGTGGAGAAAGGGGAACCCTCCTGGGGCGCCTGGGTGGCTCCGTTGGTTGAGCAACTGCCTTCGGCTCAGGTCGTGTTCCCAGACTTCTAGGATTGAGTCCCGCATCGGGGGAAGCTCCTTGGGGAGTCTGCTTCTCCCTCTGACCTTCTCCTCTCTCATGCTCTCTCCCACTCATTCTCTCTCAAATAAATAAATAAAATATTTTTTAAAAAAAGAAAGAAAGAAAGGGGAACCCTCCTACACTGTTGGTGGGAATGCAAGCTGGTGCAACCACTCTGGAAAACAGTGTGGAGGTTCCTCAAAAAAACTGAAAATAGAGCTACCCTATGACCCAGCGATTGCACTACTGGGTATATACCCTAAAGATACAAACGTGGTGCTCCGAAGGGGCACGTGTACCCGAATGTTTATAGCAGCAATGTCCACAATAGCCAAACTATGGAAAGAACCTAAATGTCCATCAACAGATGAATGGATAAAGAAGATGTGGTGTGTGTGTGTGTGTGTGTGTGTGTGTGTGTGTATATAATGGAATACTATGCAGCCATCAAAAGAAATGAAATCTTGCCATTTGTGATGATGTGGATGGAACTAGAGGGTATTATGCTTAGTGAAATAAGTCAATCGGAGAAAGACAACTATCATATGATCTCCCTGATATGAGGAAGTGGAGATGCAACATGAAGGGTTTGGGGGGTAGGAAAAGAAAAAATGAAAGAAGATGGGATCGGGAGGGAGACAAACCATAAAAGACCCAATCTCAAAAAACAGACTGAGGGTTGCTGGGGGGAGGGGGGTTAGGAGAGGGTGGTGGGGATATGGACATTGGGGAGTGTATGTGCTATGGTGAGTGCTGTGAAATGTGTAAACCTGGCGAATCACAGGCCTAAATTTATAAAAAAAATTAAAAAGTAATAAAAAAAGAATTTATTTATTTGACAAAGAGTGAGAGAAGGAGAGAGAGCACAAGCAGGGGGAGCAGCAGAAGGAGTGGGGGAAGCATGCTCCCTGCTCAGCAGGGAGCCGGATGCGGGACTCAATCCCAGGACCCTGGGATCATGACCTGAGCCGAAGGCAGAGGCTTAACCCACTGAGCCACCCAGGTGCCCCCGTTCCTTATTTTTAAAACCATCTAAAAAGAAGTACAGTCTTTTGTTTGGATGACCCCTCCCTGGCTTTGCATGCCCATGGCTCACGCCCCCAGCATACTGGTCTAAGGCAGGAGACTCATAAAAATGAGGGGAATGGAGAGGCGAGAGGTAGGGCAGGAGAGAAGAAAGAGAAAAGGGTTTAAAAAAAAAAAAAGAAAAAAAGCTAGGAGTGACAAAGAGGAGGGAGAGGGAGGGAATGGGAGGCCAGTCCAAGAGGGCAGGTGCCCTGGGTCCACACCACTGTTTCACTGGGAGCGCTGGAGGGAGGTTCCAGGGTAAGTATAAATGAAACACAGCTCCAGCTAAAACAGAACTTCAGCTATCCCACAACATCACTTCCGTCATACGATGACCAAGTCACAAATTTAACTTTTTGTGTTGTTTTGTCTCTATTTCCCTGGCCTGGCCTTAATGAATAAGGAAGCAGCTCAGTGCATGGGAGTGAGAAGCATAACGGGCAGCAGGCAGGTGAGGTGACCTGTCCTGGAACAATCAATAGGCTGGATATGGGGGTCAGATGAACCCCAGGGGTCCTCTGGGCTAAGTTCTCAGTGCAGGAATCCCCAGCACACCATGCCTGAGCAGTGGCCATCCAGCCACCACTTAACACTGTCAGTGACAGGCAGCTCACTACCTTACAAGACAACTTGATCTACTTCTATGCAGCTGAAATTATTAGGAATTTATTCCTTGTACTGTGTGGCCTTATAACACCCAGTCCTGGGGCTTTAGCTCTGCCCTCTGAAGCCACCCAGAATAGGTAATAAATGATCATTCTCTATCTTTTCAAATATTTGAATAACAATAAGCATATTCTTTATAGCTTCTCTCTTCTAGAATAGACATGCACCATTCCGTTTTTGAAGCTTTATACATAACTGGCAAGAATTCAAAGACAAGGTTTAAATAACCTGACTAAAGACTGTGGGTTGCTGGTCCTTACCGATTCAGGAATGCATTTCCGAAGCGACTGAGCTTTCGAAATGGCTTTTTGGGGTCCACAACTAAAGCGTTCCCTGGGGTGCTGCCCTCAGTCTCCCCATACATCACAGCGATGAAGGAATCCGTAGTGGGCTCTGGACCAATCCTCATGCCTGGGAAATCTTGCTCCAGTAAGTATCTGGAGGAGGGAAACAGAAAAGAAACTTACCAAGTTATCACAAAGCAAGAGGCCAGAAAGCTTCCTAGGCCTAGAAATCGAACCACCAGGGAAAGGAGAATGATTAGCATTTTACTCTTTGGCTAATGACAAATTTTCAAAGCTTACAATCTAAAGACCTAAGCCCCACTCCCCTCCCCACTGAACCCTAGTAACAGATCAGGCATCTTGCAGACTTCCTAAGTCTTCTGAAAATGAACCTTTGCTCAGCACAATTCCTGCTCCTGGTTCCACTGGCACAACAGACACCACCCCAGGGAAGTGTACCCAGCCAGCTCTTGGGCATCCTGCTACAACCTGCCCAGGCCCACCTCCTTTTGGGAAGTGTCCCTGTTCCTCCATTGTGTTGGGCATACCTCCTCTGTGGGGCCTGGGCACCCCATGCCTGCAGCCGTGATGGTGCTTACCAGGGGCACTGCATTTTTCTGTTTGTGGGCCCTTGCTGACAGGCCTATGGCCAGATGCAAAGCCCCAGCACCCAGCCCCATGCCTGCCCAAAAGGCACTCCATGTAGTGAATGAAATAATGAACCATCTCTCCTTGTCACTAGTGATCAGTAAGGCCAGGTCATCCTCCCTTGTGCACTTTATAACTCCCTTGGGTTCCTCGAGGTCATGGTCATGGAAGTGCATCTCAAAAGAATTCAGCAGCAACAGAGGCTGCTATGGCGGATGGGGGTTGAAGAAGGGGCGGCGGGGGGGGCAAGAGGTTCAGATTAGATACCACCAGGGCCATGACCGGCCCTATGTGCAAACTGCACAACGATGCCCCTGCCTCCAAGCAGACACAGCCCAGCACCAGGGTCCACAGCTTAGCAAGCTAGCTGGATTTTACCCCACACATGCTGCCCTGCCCAGTGCCGTATGATGTTTGACCCACCCAACTGGGCAGGTGGGCCCAGCAAATGTCACCGAGGGTTCTTATTCTGGGGGCCGAGGAGACCAGTTGACCAGATACAGGCCAAGGACTGGCTTAGTGATATGGCTGGGGAGGGGCAAGGTGACCAGAGGTAGCACAGTGGGGAAAGTCTGCTTCCTGTGGAAAATGGTGGAGCCCTGCCATCTATGCTCCCCATCACCCTTCCTCCGCTAGCACTTCATTCACCTGAAGCCCCTCAGAGCCCCTCCCTCCCCAGCAAGATATCCTTTCCATGAAGAAGAAAAACACACTTCCCTGTATTTGTGTGTATGGAATGGGGCAGGGGCAGGGGCAGGGCAAAGACTCCTCCCTCCTTCCTTTGCAGCGAGAGGAACATGAAGAAAGGAGTACTTTGAAATACATTTCCTTCATTACCAAGTGACAAGTGGAAAAGCAACACCTTCAGAGAACACTTGACAGTGACCCAGAGCAAGTTCTAGGGCTTGGGAGTGGTAGAAAGGAATCCCTACTGGAGGTGATTAGAGTGGAGCCATGTCTCAAGCCTGCCAGGGCATGACCTTTGACCCTGGGAGAAGCTCAAGGGCATGAAGGTGCACAGTTTCCCCCGCTAACTCCCCATTCTTGAAGCTAACAGCGATTTGTTTATTTCTAAAATGTCCCAACTGATCGGAGTTAGGCCCAAACCTGTGATTTTATTTCCTGGGACAGAGGGACTGCACTCAACTGCCCAACACAATTTTGCCATCTTTCTAAGAATAAGAAATCAGGCTATCCCTGAAAAACCTATGTTTTCTATATAAAGAAAAGTGACATTGTTTAGCCATCTCAGCAGGCTAAATTCTGAACATTAATTGGTCTCATTGCTAGTTTTTACATCATCCAAAGTTTCTACATTACTGTGAAGTTGAGAAGCACCAGAATAGTTAACATTTACATATGTCCCCTAAATTTTGAGGAAATGTGAAAAAATGATCAGACTATAGCACCCAGCATTTACCAAGTGCTTGTTATTTACCTGGAGTACAAAGCCCTCCACATGCAAAACTGTTCGTGCAAACCCTGTTAACACTCTGAAGTGAGCACTAATATTACTCCCATTTTACAGGTGGGAGATCAGAAAAGCATCAGGGGCATCAGAAAAGCTACACAATTTGCCTAAGGTCACACAGTAAGTGTGTTTCAGTGGTAATGGAATGCTGGCAGCGGGACTCCAGGCCTTGGGCTGTCTCCAGACAATGTTTTTCTTTGTTTGTCTTTGTTTTTTTAAAGATTTTACTTATTTATGAGAGAGAGAGAGAGAGTAAGAGAGAGCATGAACAGACGGAAGGGGCAGAGGGAGAAGCAGTCTCCCTGCTGAGCAAGGAGCCTGATCTGGGGCTCGATCCCAGGACCCTGGGATCAGGACCTGAGCCGAAGGCAGAGGCTTAACCCACTGAGCCATCCGGGCACCCCTCCAGACAATGTTTTAAACCTGGGCTTGAGCTGGTGGTTTGTTGGGTGATGAGGAGCACAAGGGGGGTTCGGTGCACCCTCATGCAGTGTGCTGGTCATAGACACCGCAATCTTGCTTCTCCTCAAAAGTCAGGAAGCAGAGCTCTCCCCCACTCTCTTCCTGCAAGGTCCTGGGGCTGCCCTAACAGCAAGTGGCTGGCTCCTTCTGTTCTCCCTAGAGAAAAGCTGGGGAGAAAAGGAGCTACTTTTCAAAGCATGTTCAAATTAAATTTTTTAAAAATTTCAAAACTTTTGCAGGTACCGAGCACACTACTAAATATCCTTAGGAGCAGAAATGTTCCCCTTCACAACGTCTTATGAAATTCCACACAGGCCTTAGCAATACCGGTGATACCAGCAGCAGCATCTCACGCTCTGGGAGACTCCAGCACTTGCAGTGTGTAAGCAGAGTGTGTGGATTTCATATACACACACGGCTGTGGAGTTTCGGTTTCACAGCTACTCTGGGATCTCAAGTCTGAAGTCAGTCATCAGCAAAGCTAGAATTCAAGTCCAAATCACACCCCTCCCACGTCCACTTTGAATTCCACACCGCATGGCCTGGATGATGCTATGCCTGGAGATCTCTGGGACAGAGGAAGGAAGACCACCGACGGGGGGGGAGGGGGGAGGCGCTGGGCTTGGAAGAACAGCAGTCAATGTCATCAGGCTCCCTGGAGCACGCACAGTTCTCTCAAAAGGCTCAGGTCAGCTTAAACTTGACAGGCACTCTCCCATGGAATCAATGTTAACAGCAATGGCTGGCTTGCAAGACAGCCTACGATGTTCACACACACACCAACAAAATAAACAAAACAGACAAGAATTGTAGCTCTGCCTTTTGGGGGAAAACCCACTGTTGTGTCCCACCTTGGGTGGCTCTCTGCAGTCTTGCTGCTTCTCAGCACTTCCCCAGGCCTGGAAGAGGGTCCTTCAGCTCCAGGCCTCGGGAGGTGAGAATGGGGCTTAGGAAGGGGTGGAGGGGTGTGTGGATGCTGGGGTTCAGCAGTGAGTTCCCAGCAGGGAAGTAACTTACATGTAAAAGTGTGTAAGTCAGGCTATCATGGCCAAGGAGAGTCTGAATGGCTTTGGATGGTCCTAGAAATATACAGTTTTTTTTTTTTTTAAAGATTTTTTATTTATTCATTTGACAGAGAGAGAGAGAGAGAGAGAGATCACAAGTAGGCAGAGAGGCAGGCAGAGAGAGGAGGAAGCAGGCTCACTGCTGAGCAGAGAGCCCGATGCAGGGCTCGATCCCAGGACCCTGAGATCATGACCTGAGCCGAAGGCAGAGGCCTAACCCACTGAGCCACCCAGGTGCCCCCATACAGTTTTACATAAAAGCACAACAAACCCTACTAATTTTGGAATAATAGGGGTTTCATACCTGGAGTATGAAGTTGTTTAAAGAACAGCAGGTGTTTCTTATTTTCAAGTTCATAATCTAAGAGAAGCTAGAACTTCCCAAGCAGCAACCCTGCCAGACGGAAATTTAATAAACTATTTTTAAAGTATACTTAAATATATTTCAGTTTATATTTGGCAAATATTTGCTAAAGTATGCTGCTAATGTGAATCAGTTTGAAGTGAAAGGTGCGCCCAAAAGGTGACTTTGAGAAACCATTCCATCTCTGGGCCCCAGACGCTGAAGAGAAGTAGAACTAGGAAGGGCTCTATATAGCTTCTTTACCTTGTTACTCTGCTTAGTGATACTTTCTCCCACAGATAATAAGAAGCCAAAATTCAGTGTTCAACTTCATTATCAAAGCAATGCCAATCAAAGACACAATGTATTAATGCTTTAAAGAGCTCATAGTACCCAACTGTGCAAGGGGGTAGTAAAATCAACACCCTTATGTATATCAGTGGAATAATCAGTTGCTATAACCTCACTGACAAGCAATTTGATACTTTATGTTAAAAGCCTCTAAAATGGGATTAGTTCTTCCTTTTGAAATCTATTTTAGCAAAAACCCTAGACACACAAAAAAGATTTTTATGTGATAATGTCCATTGCAGCATTATCTATAACAGCAAAAAAAAAAATTAGAAAGAAAATTGTGTTTTCTTTCCCATGGCTCTACTGCAATATAAAATTCACTTATTATATTTATGACTTATTCCCTGCCTCCACCTGGTAGAGTAAATGCTAAAGGAAAGCAGGGCTTTTAGTCTCTTCTGTTCACTAATACTTCCCACATGCGTGCAATGATCTCTGGCACACAGTTGGGGCGCTCAAGAAATACTTGTTGAAATAATGAGCGTCTGAGTGTCTGATCACACTGGCCTTTGCACCACCTTGTCAATATGCCAAGGCCATTCCTACCTCAGGATTGCTTGGAAGGCCCTCCCCCAGATCTCTGCATGTCATATGGTACTTCCTTGGGGAGCCTCCTGAAACAGGAGCCTCTCAGGTCTGGTTCCCCATCCCTCCTCCTCATAGCCCAATCAGAGCACTTATCAGGAGCTGACATTCTGCCATGTTCCTGTGGGCACGTCACTGTCCCAGGCTATCAGGAGCACCTTGAGAGGGAGGCCCTCTGTCTGGCTCACTACCATACCCTAGCATCTAACACGGCATCTGGAACATG